GGGCGCAGCTACCACGACCCCCAGCGCTACGCACACAGGTGAGGGGACACAGTGGGGGGGGTCTGGGGCCGGGGCTAGGAAACCTCGGGGGTCTTTAGAGGCGGGTGATGGAGGGCAAACCCAGGAGCCGGGCAGGGGACTGTGGGGGGTGGAACTATGGTATAGGGGGCTCTGCAGGGAGTGTATTATGGAGGGTTCTACAGGGGCTGGGACCCTAGAGGCACCTTGGTGGTGGGTGAGGGGGGCTCTGAGCAGATCTGCAGGGGCAGGGGGGACCCTAGGAGCATCCACAGCAGTCTGAGGGGGGGCCCATGGGTATGCACTGAGGTTGGGGGAGTGGAGGAAGCCCTACAGGTAGAGGGGTATATGGGGTAGCTGGGGGGGGGCACAGAGTTATGGGGGTGTATAGGAGTAGTTATGGGGCACAGGGCTGTGTGGGTGTGTAGGGTAGCTGAGGGGAACAGAGCTATGGGGGGCCCTAGAAGTCTAGGGGTATATAGATGTAGCAGGGGGTGGGAACAGGGCTGTGGGGGGAACTCTAGAGGTATAGGAGTGTACAGGAATAGCTGCGGGGTTTATAGATTTATGGGGAGCCTCAGAGGTATGGGGGTGTATAAAGATAGCTGGGAGGACACAAAGGTATGGAAGGACCTTAAAGGGGTGGGGGACCCTAGGGCTGTGGTTATGTATGGGGTAGGTGGGGGGCATAGTGATATGGGGGGCCCTAGAGGTATAGGGGTAGCTGGGGGGCACAGGGCTATGGGGGTGTATAGGGGTAGCGGGGGATAGGGGGCAGCTGGGGGGCACAGTTACGGGGTGTATAAGTGTAGCTGGCAAGCATGGGAATAGCTGGGGGAGGCACAGCTATGGGGGAGTGTGGGGATGCCAGGCGTGTCCACAGGGATGGAGGGGAGCTGGGAGGGGTCTCTGGGAAGCCTGGCCATGCCCATTACCCCCCAGGCCCCTGCCAGAACAAGCCAGCACTCCCAGGGGGTCCCTGCGCCCTGGCTCCTGGACCCCCCTGCACGAGGACATCAACCGGGTGGAAGAGCGCAAGCACGGCTTCAAAACCAGCGTGAAGAAGCTGCTGCAGCGTCGAGCCAGCCCCCGTCGCAGCCCCCCTGGCCCCCTGCCTGCCCGTGGAGACTCCCTCAAGAGGCAGAAGGGGGGCGAGGGGGAGGAGGGGGGGCGCCGCCGGTACACCCGCTCCTTCTCCTTCAAGGGGTTGCTGCGGAGGAAGGGCCTGGCCCGAGAGGAGCAGGATCCCCATCCCCCCCCATCCCCCTCCTTGCTGCGCCCCACCTCCCTGCCTGTCACCCCCTGCTACTGCACGGACCTCCCTGCACTGGGACAGCAGGATCCCATGGCACACGGTAAGGGGCCCCAGAGACACTGGCCAGGAGGAAACCCAGGTGTCCTAAGGCTCTAGGTCCTGTTCCTCTCAGAGTAGGGAGAAAACCCAGGCATCTGGGGAGTCCCTGGTGCCCTGACCAAACCCACCAGACCCAATGTGCTACCCAGAGCTAGGAGGGAACCCAGGTGTCCTGGCTCCCATCCCCCCTCCCCCATCTAACCTACCAGACCTCACTCACCCCCCAGAGCAGTGTCCCAGCCCCCCAGAGCCCCTACACTACATCATTGTGCCTTCTGGGAGCTGGGGGAAGAACCCTAGACACCCTGGCTACCAGCCCCAACTCTATCTCACCAGACCCCACTCACATCCTAGAACTAGGAGAGGACCCCCATGCTCTCCACGAGCTGGTGGGAGAGTCTAGATGTCCTGACCCACAGCCCCCTGCTCTAAACAGCTCTGCCCCCCAGGCCAGCCACCGCAGGACCCTGCTCTCTATGCCCAGGCAGCCCAGAAGCTGGACAAACTGCTGAAGCAGCAGCAGCTGAAGAGCCCTGGGAGCGCTAATGGGGCTCCCTCCCCCAGGCTGGGGGCCAGGACCCCCGGTGTCCAGCTGGGCATCAGGCACTCAGGTAAGCTGCTACCTGGGACAGGGCCAGGGGCTCCCTGCCCTCTGGGGGAAGCCGAGTGCTCACAGGCCTGTCTTTGCCTCCAGCTCTGCCAGACCACTCCTCGGAGACTGCCAGTGAGCAGCACAGGGAGCAGGTGATCCAGAGACTCATCAGCCTCCTGGAAGAGCAGGCTGAGGACATCAATCGGGAGGTACTGGTCTGAGCCCCTGCACTTGTCAGCCAGTGCCCCTCACTCCTGACCTGCAGCCCCCTGTGCCTTCCCTGGTGCTCCTCCTGCCCCACAGACTGCCCCCACACCATGCCACTCACACCCAACCTCCACAAACCCAGCACATGGCCCCTCCCCAGCCCTGTCAGTTTTCCCACACCTGCAGCCCCCTACTTCCCCCAAGTCCTAAGAGCCACTGTTATGCCCTCCCTGCAATCCTTTTCCCTAGCCCTGCCAATTCCCCTCACTCCTGACCCACAGCCCCTTTGCCCTCCCTCAGTGCCCCTTACTCTGGACCTGCAACCCCTGCTCCCCCCCCTGCCCAGCCAGTGCCCCTCATTCCCAGCCTGTAGGACTGTGCCTCCTCCAGCCCCTCACTCCCGAACCGTATCCCCCTGCCCCCCACAGCCCTGCTGATGCTATGACATTTCCCCTCACCCGCAGATGGAGACAGACCCCGTGCTGCGCAGCACCCTGTCCCGCATGTCCTTCCACAGCTTCTCCCAGCTGGCTGAGGCCTTCGCCGCCCGTGCGCCCCCCAGCAGCCCCAGCCCCCAGCTCACGCGCCTGGCACTCACTATGGAGCTGACCCGGAGAGTGGCTGGGATCAGCAACCATGCAGTGCAGACCCTCATGGGCTACAGCCTCCAGTACATGGAGCTCTTCGTGCCCTGGCTCCAGCAGCAGGGCGGCTGGGTAGGGGGGCCAGGCCAGCCTGGGGAGGGGGCTTTGCGATGGGGTGGGATTTACATGGGGGACTGGTAGGGGATGGGAATTATGTGGGGAGGAGGGATCACCATGCCTAGGGAAGGGGCAGCTGGGTTGGGCTGGGGAGACCAGGGGACATAGGTTAAAGGGACACTTGGTCAGAGGGGATTGGGTGTGGTGGCCACATGGGGGGAGGGGGGGGGAACTGTATGAACTAGGGGGCCAGGCTACAGTGGACATGGAAGGAATCTAGGGCTGTCTGTGGGCCATGCTTGGGGTGGGAGCTGTTGGTCTATCTGGGCTGGGCCTCCCCCCTACAAGCCTCCTCCCCACCCCACAGGAGAGCATCGTGGGACAGGACGAGCTCTTCGACCTCCAGCTCGACTAGGGGGAGGAGGCAGGATGCAAGTAGGGTGGGGGGGAGGGGGGCTGGCCATCCACCCCCCAGAAGCCACGGTGATGGGGTGGCACCCTATCTATGGGGAGGCCCCCTGGCATTCTCAGGGTACATCCAGCTGGAGGGGACCCCAAACCAGATACCTCCCCTGGGACCATGGGGGGCCCACTGTGACCTCTTATTAAACATTTTAAAAATATATTTAACAAAGTTCTTGATGGCTCCGGACCCTTCTTGTCCCGCCTGCATCCCTCCTTGGGGAAGCAGCAGGGCAGCTGCAGCTACTTCTGGGGAGGGAGTATTGTATTGGACCTCCCCCCCGGCCTGGAGCTGCGATGCACCTGGGGTGGGGATGGCAAGGAGTCCCCCAGGGTGGGGGGGCAGAGG